TCACTGCATCCAACAGTTAAAAAATAAATGTTTCCTAAGTAGCACATGACAAATACAAGTGTGCAGGCTGTCATCTGAACTTTTTAGTACTTTTTAATACTTTTTTGCTAACAATAGCAATAGAAAACTCACAGAATGAGTGATGGTACAGAAACACATTGTTGGCTTCCTTTCGTTCGTTGGAATTGTATCTTTTCTAAGGGGGAGCTTCCTTTTCTAACTTATAAAAGACTGAAGTGGCAGATTTCTAAAACTGAAAAGTGGTCTTTAGGGATAAGGCTAAATTCCACTTTCTGGCTCTGTAGCCATCCTTGGCCTTGGAAGTTCATGTTCTGGAGTTCTAAGCCCTTTAAGACCAACCAGCCTTTTGAGTTTAGTTGCAATGAGTTGGGCTGTTGCAATGATGGTGAATTTTGCTAACTTGCTTAAATTTTTCATGTTTGCTTATTGCTTGCCAGCTGATACATGGCTTTATGTGGTTGAGTCACTATCCGTGGAGTTATTTAAAAGATGTGTAGATTTGGCATTTAGGGATGTCGTTTAGTGTTGAATTTGGCAGTGCTGGATTAGCAGTTGGACTTGATGATCTTAAAGGTCTTTTCTACCTGAAATTATTGTATGTTTTTTTGATAGGCAGCTAGAATAGTTGGAATCTTGTACCTGGTTGCAACATAGGCAAACATGGCAAATCTGTTAAATAAGAAGCTGAATTGAAAGTAAAATGCTTAGATAACATTTTAAATTAAGACATAAACAGAAATAGCATTTGTAAGAGTTGGTCATTGTGTATACATTGTGAAATTCTAAAAGCTCTGCTTTCAGTATCTGTGAAAGTAATCGTGTATTTTTCTCTTTTTTTTTTTTCCTTGAGTGCAGTGTTTAGTGGTTGGGTTGGGCTACAGCAATAGCTACCCACACTTGTTACAAGAATACTCATAGATTACCATTTAATTATTCTTTGTTAGAGAAGTCTGCTGGAGGGACTCATTATATATCATGTGTGATTATATATCACACATGATATATAATGAGGCAGGGAGAAAAGCACAGAAAAGATGGAAATGAGTTGAGAGCTGTTTTTTTTTCAGTACATGCTGATGAATTTGTAAATGATAGCCTTGTTCATCTGCTGTCATTACATGCTGTTAATATAAACACAGTTGAGTTCCCTGACTGGTCCATAGCAAGTCATAGGCCAGTCAGGAGTGTATCCTAGAAATTAATGTACCACAAACTGCTGTTCTGTGTCTGTTCTGGAAGGGGGTGTTTGAAGGGCGAAGGAGACTCCATGGAGATCTGTTTTCTGGGCCAGGTGTACAAGTGCATGCACAGGAAATCAGGTCATTCTGGCAAGTAGGAGTGATTAGCAACAGGCCTCAAACTTTGGCATAAAACCTCACATGGTGATGGGGGTCTGTGAAGCCTTGCTGTGTTTGAAGAGGGGTGTCGTATGAGGAGTCCCAACAGTGTCTGTGAAATATGGTGCTCTTGCTTCAGCTCTGGATTTCCTGTAGGTGTTATTGAAATGTTTTTTGTTGGGGGGGTGGAGCATTTAAAGGCACTTCTGCACACAGTTACTGAGGTTCGTAAGGCAAAACTGAGTCATTCTTCAGGGCTGATGAACTCCAGTAAAATAAAAAAGGAAAAGAAAAGGATTGGAACAGATTGGCATTTAGAAATATGCAAGTAAAACTGGAATCCTGTGTGTGGTACTTCAGGTAACAGAATACATAATAGGAAATAACGGATTTCCATGTGGAGCCTTGCAGATCTCCAGGAGTGTATATGGAAATAATTGGATCCTTGCAAATAAACCATGGCATATTAATGGGGAGCTACTTTGAATCAGTGGGATCTGGTCCCATGTGATGCCAGTTTAACAATGAAAGCAGACTGGTATCTTTAGAAAATTCCTAGTGGAATCTTTCTAGCAACTGTTGCAAGACCCCAAGTGCTTTCTGCTGTATTGTAAAGGAATGCTTGTCTTACAAGGAATTGCATAGAAAGCTTTGCTCAGCAAATGCAGACATTATAGTAAAACATGCCTTCAACTCCTTAGATGCATCTAGAATGCTGCATGTCATTAAGTTTACATTGAAGCCATTGGGATATTTGTGTATCTTTGTTTAGAAATAGTAAGAGACAGCAACTGCACTTGTACATTTGGGCTGATGGTAAGGACACAGTAACTAGATAATGACTGTATGCTGTATTTGAATGTTAAGCACTGTAAATCTTGCCTTATCAAATGTGGTAACTCTGCAGGCATTGAGAAAATGGATTTTAGAAAAACTGAAAAAGAGTCTGCTAAAAAGCAGGGAAGAAAAAGAGGAATGCAAATGAAACAACCTTGGGAACTTCCATGATTTTTAAAAGACAAAAAATGCAAGGTATGATAGCTGTTCTTTCTGGTGTGCTTCTTCATTTCAAGATGAAGCTGAGACTGATGGTGATGTCCATAGCTCAAGGGTCCCTGATTGCACTCCCAGAACTGAGGTAGTATAACAGGTAGTATATTAACACAGAGGGGAGTTTAGTACTATCTTATTTTTATGTAGTCTTCTACCTGAAGGTTTACTATACTTACTAATGACATTGAATAATTTCTTGTACATATTTGTAAACATAATTTCTTTCACCCTCACCTTGGAACAGTTAATGGGATTATTCAAAGAATACTTTGCCCAAAAGAAGCACTTTAGCTTCTGTGTTGATTTTTTATACTTCTCATACAAACCACTGCACTTTCTGATCTTACTTTGTTTCCAGATTCAGAATCCTATTTCCAAAATAGTTTTTACATTTCCAAACCATAATTAAAACAAATAATGCCATAGTGGTGCTTAACAGATGGCCAGCTATTTTTATTTCTGTGTTCTGTTATTAAACTTATGCATGATACAATAGCTTTAAGGAAACTTTCAGTAAGAGGAGGCTACTTAATTAAACCACTTACTTGTAGGAGACTGAAGAGAAAAGGGTGATTACTTTGTATAGCTGTGTTTCCTAAGATAATGTTGTGCTTCCAAAATTGGTAGAAGGAAGGCTTGCACCATGGCTCTGGGATAAGACCATCCACACACTCCAAGAACATCCTCATGTATTTTGAGACAGGTAAACAGAAGACTTATCAGGGATTGAAAATAGTGGTGACAGAGAGAAATGCTTGACCTTTCAAAGTGTATAAGGCTATTTATGTTAGGGTTTTATTTGGAGGAGAGTTCAGTCTTGAAGCAAATCACCTCATTGTCCCTGTTTATCATGCCCATTTGTTTGTTTTGCAGAGTGGTTTGGGTATGTAATAATCAGGCTTTTTCCAAAAGAAACTAAGTCATTCCATTCCTTTCATGTACCAGTTGTACTCTAATCCTCACTGGAGTCTAGAGGTTTGACCAGGTATTGGGTCATTTTGTGGCAGCTTTGATCCTCCTGTGGTAGTAGGGTCTGGTTCAGGAAGTTTGAGTAAATGTGGCCTGCAAAAAATGCCCCTCAAAAACTCTTGGGCTTCATATAGTATAGGTATAAAGACTTCAGCTGCAGCTGTTTTGATCTGCTCTGGTTGTGCCAAATTGATAGTACAGCCTAATGCCATTTATTGTGGGCTTGTTGGGTTTTTTTAAAGTAACACCGGACTAGTAGGGACTAATTGTCAGGGTGTTTTAACCTTGTCAACTGATTGGAGGTGGTAATGTTTTTAAATCTGTGTCTGTGACAGTTTGTGTTTTAGGTGGAACTTGACAGACCTTTAGAGCAGTGCTGCATTCATTAAGTGAGGTACCAAAAGGTCCATTCTGAATGTTCCTGCCTATGGTTTTGATCTGACTGGTTTTCAGGGGCATGAGGTGGGGACAGAGCAGAAGATACATGTTTGGAATGTAATGGTGCTGTAAGAGTTCACACCTGGTGCAGAGATCATGATTATATTTTAAAAGACAGCATAAATATTGGGAATTATATTATAAAATATCAAAGAGCCCTATCCCAGTTACCAAGCCCCCTTCGTTCATTGAATGTCCAATATGGCATGTGTCCCTTTTTTCCTGTGGATGGGAGAAAATTAATTTCTCAGTGCTAAAGTTATTCCTTTGCTGATCTGTAGTAACATTTGTATTTTTGTGCACATATTGGAATTTTGCAATATGATCTTCTTACAATAAAAAAAATAATTATAGGAAGAACATAATTGTTGTATAATTTGCCTTTCAGTTATTCAACTTCATCTTTTTAAACTCAATAGCCCACACTGTTCCTTTTCTTCCCCTCTGTAGCTGCTTTTTTTCCAAGCTATTTGAGATTTCTCTGTATTTCTGAAATGAAACATTTTTGTCAGCTTAAAATGACAAAAATTAAAATGAATCTCAAAGCTGCACCACGTGTGTAGAACCACTTGAGTGCATAATCAGTGCTCTTAGAGGAAGTCAGTTTGCTTTCCAGCGTTGGGAAGTGCTGGGGGGATGTGAGAGGGACTGTTGGCAAGTTCAGCCCTTGGAGCAATAAACCAAAGCCACATGCCAGTTCAGACACGAGTGTGAGTGGGAAGAAAGATAGTATGAAGGATGGCCTGGTATTTAGACAAAAGAAGAGATTAGAGCATGACAACTGGTTTGAACGACCACATGTAGTCAGTGCACTGACTTTCTTTCATGAGCTTTATTTATAGTAAGTTGCTATAAAAGCGATTTTGAAATACGTTTTGAAGTTCAGTTCGTAGCAGTTCTCCAGGTGGCAGAGATAAAAGGAACTCCTGAATATCATCTGTGGTGGAATCTGCTGGAAACAGGCTCTTCCTAGCGTTTGAAGGCAAGGCAGTACCCTGAATTAGCTGAGGTGGTTTGAGCGCTGGGGTCCGGTGCTGTGTCCGGGCGTGCTGTGCCGCGTGCAGAGCGCTAGCTGCAGCCGCTTGTGCTTTCCATTGCGTTGTGCGGGGTCTGGTGCGGGCGGTGCCGCTGACAGCTGACAGCTGCGGCTCGTCCGGGCGGAGTATGCTGCGGGGTGACCCAATGGGAATTGCATTGATCTGGTGCTTAGCTCTGATCCTTATCAAATGGATTACTGCTAAGGTAGGGCCCTTTTATTACTCTGTTTTGACTGACTGTGTTTATAAGTAGCCCGAGAGAAAAGAAGTAATTAAGAACTCCACCAGTACTTATTTTTCTTTTTTTAATTCTAATCTGTTTTGGAAACAGATGTAAGATTGTGTTTCCTAAGTGTTCATGCATGATTTTGTAGGTCTTGACTTTTGCCTGCCTTGAAGTGGGAAGAGTGTTTGTAGCAGTGCCAGTAAGGAGACTGGGAAAGGATCTGAAATGGCTTCTGAATGGCAGGGGGTTGCTTGCCTCTGTTACTCGCAGATCCCCGGGCTTAGAGCGCTTTAAAGGCTTTGTGAAAATAAGGAAAAACAACTGGAAACACAGTGGGAATAATACAAATTAGTGTATTTTGCTTCCTGGACAGGATATCCTTTTTGTGTTGTTGATTTCAGAGTTTTGCCCGTGTGAAATATCGACTACTTCTCTTACTTTGTAGCCTTTCCACTTGATGTCTGTGTTCTGAAAAATGTGTGCTAATGTTAGGCAGGATTAGGAGTTCCTACTCTCATTCTAAAGAACGTGAGTGTCTCCATAATGGATATTGTGCTAGTAAACATAAGCGAGATCGGTGCCTGGAGATGAGACCAGGTTATTCTCAGCATAGCTCACTGCCCAATCTGCAATTAATTCCAAAAGGAGGGATAAATTTAAGTTTAGGATTGTGAAGGAGAGCCAGAATCAGTGGAGAGGGAAACTTGGGAGGGGGGGAGATAATCAGAGCTCATACATTTATATATAGTTTTGGGGTTTTTTGAGACACACTTCTAAAACTTTTGTACAATTTACAGGAGAATCTGAAGAAGCTTGAATTTGAAGAAGCTTGTGAAAACAAACCTTGCCAGGCCTCCATGCCTGTATTCTTCAGTCATTGCCAATAACGGGTTTCTATATTTACTAAAAGCAAAACTGGTCAGGCTTAGTTGGCAGCACTTGTGGCAACTTGTGTCACATCAAGAAATAGACCAGGATACTGAGTGGATGTTCACCTGTGACTGAAGGCAGATTCTAAATGCCAGTGTTTTACAGCCAGTGGTGCTAGCCTGGTACACCGTCCACATTTTACTGGTATAGTGGTGGACTGCTGGTTTTCTGGAACTTGACATAAAAAGCCTGTTTAGGGATTATGTCTAATCCAGTTTGGTCAACGATTCTTTTAAAGGGGGTGGGGGGGGGAGGAATTCCAGGTAGTTTATATAATACAGTTAGGCATAAAAACCTTTGCTGTTTATGGTTATATTTTTGCATGTACTAATAGCTGTTTCTTTTAAAGAGTTAATATTTTTGTATTCATTCAAATACACTATTATGCTGTTGCCTTTGAGCCTTCCTGCTATTCTGATTCAATTTCTAAAGGTAGTAGCCCTGTGTATTTCTGTCCTCACTTAAGTCAATCACTTATGCTTTTTTTTGACTAGACTTTCTGATCAGTTGTCAAGCTTTTGTATATTTTTGTTAAATTTAGATTCATTTTTTTAATGTTGATTAAAGCATTGGGTAAGTCTTATGATGCCACATGATACACATCTAAGATATACAAGAGAAAACACATTACAGGTGCTTGTTACAGATGTATGTATCACTAATGTTGGTAACTGTCATTCAAGCTGTAGCTAAGTTTAAAGATGATTGCCTTCTGTTGTGGGAGATGATCATGTGAGATAGCTTTATATGGAAGAAAATATCACATTCAGATATTAGAAGGGAGTCTGTGTTTCTTATTGCTGATTAATATTGCCTTCCTGAAATTTAACCACATTTCCTTATCCCTGATTTGATAAGCTTGTCATAAAAGTTTCAAGTACTGCTTTGAACTGCAGTGAAATGTTTAAATAGCAGTACTGGGATCATCTCGCAGTGTCCTACCTGAATTTAGTGGCAGTTTAAATGCTTTAAAAGAACATAGTTCAGTGTTTAGTGAGTAAAAACTTGGTGGTGCCTTGTGGCTAAGAATTAGGATATATTACAGTCTTGCTTTTGAAATCCAGTAATAGTTGGAGAAATAGGATCTAATTAGTTTGTCATTCCAAAGACTTCCTAGTTGATAAACTGTCTTATGATCTTAAATATTTTCCAAGTGTGCATATTTGAGGCAGCATAACCAGTAAATTGCAGTTGCAAGGATGTAGCAGTTTTTCCAAACTCATTTTCAGATAGAGCAGTTGAGACCAATTCTCTCATAGTGAGGCAAAGAACTTGGAAAAGCCAAGTAGGTAAAAATACCTGCCTGGCTGCATTGCTGTCTGTCCTCTGTCTTTTCTTTTCCAGCTTAGGAGTAAAGAGCTGAATTGCAGAATGAGGGTCGTGTACTCCCATCAAAAAACACAGATGATTCTTTCTGATGGGAGGTACTGAATTTTGAAGGCCAACAGCTCTACTAGAATGAGACCAGCAGTTGTTTTGTGTGACAGGCCTAAAGCTTGGCTAGCTGGCACTTGCCAAAATGATGTGCCTGGCAGCAATGCTGGTGCTCTGCTCTGAAAGATATTGGGAAGTCTGTGTGATAAAACTGATACATGAATGGAAACATTTCTGTTTGACACAAACAGCAGCAGGTGCTCTGTTTCCAAGTGTTGTATGGCTATGCTGTACTCCCTAGCATCACTGAAGCGGTTTCCCTTTGAAGATGTATCTCTGTGCTATTTTGGCATGTTGATCCCATTGCATGGCCTTTAATAATTTCCTATACTCTGTGAAAAGATGTTGAGAAAGATCTGACTCAAATCTGAGTTCGGGTAGGTGCTCCCATTGCCTATTTTTGCAGTCCTTGTATCATTCTTGTTGTTAAGGATTAATGGATCTTCCACTTTTGTTTGAACTTCTTCCATTTAGTTTCCACAAATATGTCACAGAAGAGGGGAGAAATGAAAGCTTTTTTACTGTATTGCCCTTCTGAAAGAATAAATAATGCTCTAATATGAAACTGAACTTTAAAGTGAGGTTTTCAAAGTGGAAGTCCAGGATAAACAATCCTTCCAGTCATTTTTCTGACATCCATCTTGACCACTGAAGCAAAATAGCCCACCCAGTTCAGATGGCTGTGAAAGGAACAGCAGTTGAGAACTTCACCTAATCATTTGTGGAATTTGTTGAATCATTTCAAGTCCAGCAGACATTCCCACCAAGTTGTTTGTGTGCTTTAAAAGGGAACCTGCCTAAACACATTAGGATTGTCTTAACTTTGAGCACTATAATTTTATCTGCTTGTTGGAATGGTGCTTTTTTGTTTGGGATTTGTGCAGAGGCTCAACATCGTTATTAACAGGTACAAAGCTTCAGGTAGACCAAAGAGATGGCAGAGATTTAGGAATAAAATTTTATGCTAAATGAGTTAAAAATATTAACGATAACATGATATTTCAAAGTGCCGGAAGTCAATCTTTAGTCCATGAAGATTTTAGCCCAGGTTTCTGTAGGATGATACAGTGTACGCTATGGTCATCTGAACTGTGTAAGCAAGGTGCATTTTTAGGATAAGTATAGTCTTGGTGTAGGATACAGAGAGTGGGCCTTGGATTAGCAATGAGGAAGATGGCATTTTTGATCATCAGTGGGGAAAAAAATCTTGGTTTGAACTGTTGAGTGCCTTACAGTAACTTTAGTTCTTGAAGACACATTTGCCTTTCTATTTACAAATTTGCTACATGTGTTACTTCACATCTCAGTAGAAGCTGGTGCATTAAATCTGGTCTGTTTTTGCTGGATTTAAATAATGGAATCTGGGCAGTATATCTTAAAAGAACCACAGACAGAGTAGATTAAATTACTTCTCTTCTTTTGCTTTTTCCTTGCATTTTTCTAGAGTACTTTAGGGAGTAGGATAACAAATAACACTGAACAGTATTATTTGAAGTGAGAAAACAGGTGATACACCACAACCTGTGGTAGGTCATCTGTTACCTGTTTGCAGTGTAAGCTGACACAAAACAACCCATGTCTGGATGATCATATTATTTAATTTACCTGCCTATCACAAGTTGCTAGAAAACCTCCTTACCATTTGCTCCATCCTTAGTCTCTTGACTGCCCACCACAGTGTTCCTACTTATCTGTACCTCACTTACTTGCCTGGTCCAAAGTTAAGAGGTCTGACCACTCATCACCCACCCTTTCGCTGTCTGTTGGTGGAACTTGCTAATAAGTGTTTTCCTCTTACCTATTTTACTTAACAAATTTTAATGAAAAGTATCATCAGGACCTCGACCATTTTAGCAAAATTAGCTGAAATTGTCCTGCTATTTGTGAAGTATTGGTAGTGAAGTTTACACAATAAATTGTCTCACTTTTTCCTTAGGAAACCAAACCTTGAAAGGTAATTTTAAAAGGATTTGATGGTTCAGAGATTCCTACAAGGTCTTTCAGAGTCCTTGCAGAACAAAATCACTTGTTTGTATAAGCAACTGCTTTATGTTTTTTAAAATGTGCTTTGTGTTTGATATCATACATGGACATACTACTTTATACGACTTTATCTATCAGATAATATTTTAGATTTTAGAATGCAAATAATATTTTAGAATCAACATATCAAAAGGATTTATTTTTCAGTAAATTTTTGCATTTCTTCATGGAGACAAATGCTCCAGTTGGACATGGGTCTTCTACTGCTTGTGTGCTTAGCTTTCTCCTGTATTAGATTACAGAACTGTACTGGACATGTCCAGAAATCTGTGATAGACAGGTGCAAATTGCAAGTTAGCACTAAATTACATCAGTGATTGTGCCTAGTCAGTGATATGAAATGTTCCAAGCTACTGAAAATACATTCCAGCTGGGATTTGCTGAAACTTAAAGGTAGGTTATATGAAAAAGTTTGAAAATGTTAGTGGGTATTTGACATAATATATCTATTTCTTTAAAGAACAAATGTTCTGAACTGTCAGAATGGAGGTCTGATTGGGAAGGTGATCCTCTAATTACAGGGTCAGGAAATTAACATTAATGAAGGCCCTAGGAAGTGGCAGAAGATGGTCAAAATATAGTAAGGGCAAGATGTGAGGCTGGGTGTTAGGTTGAGCAAAGGTCTGAAGACTAGTGTCAGTGTTTTGTAGAATGAGAACATTCCTCCAGTTTTTAGCTGTTAGAGGAGTGGTTCACCACCTTGTGGAATTACAAAGTGAAACATAGGTATCTTGGGTAGGTGAGAAATACAGCCTGTATGGGACTATCTCAGTGTTGTGCGTGGATCACCTGATGACTCTTTTAGACTTGTATCATCAGCTGTGAACTACTTCTTGCCTGTTTTCTCTGAAATACCTTTATGTATTATTTCTTGCTTCAGTGGTACCTTTGATTTACCTAGAGAAAGTACTGGGTAGAATGAAAGTAGAATGTGGCAGCCTAGGACTGCAGTAATGGTGTCTTTTGAGCTCTTTTACTTCTTTTAAACCTCCTTTTACCTTTGCAATGTGGAATACCCCATAGGTAAAAGTAAATATATAAACCAGGAACTACAAGTATTTGTTTTAAGTCTGACATTCTAGAAGGCTATGAGAAGCACTTTTTTGTGTCTGTGTAATCTTGTTCTGCATCTTTTTTGTGAGGGATGGTTGAGGAACATCTGGAAAGAAATGTACAATTTGGTTTTTTCCATGCTCTGTAATCTTTTCAATACCAATTCTTGTCCTTCCTTTGACCCTCTTAGAACAAATTCAGTAGATATATATATATTTGAAAGATGCATTTTGCATGAAAGTTGCTAAGCTTATTAACTTTGAGTTAAATTGGAAATAGTCAATTAATACTTTATTTTCATTTCAGTTTAAAAATTCTTTATTTCTAACTTACGTAAAATACCCTTTATTTTTTGTTTTGTTTTGCAGAGACGTGGAGCAATTTCCTATGACAGCTCTGATCAGACTGCGTTGTACATTCGTATGCTAGGTAAGCATACCAGTTTCTATATTACAAAGTTCTAACATTTATGATTGATTTAAATAACTTTTTTATGTCTGTGTTGAATTCATAAGCTTATCATTCTCTTTGATTTTGGTTAGATTCTTTTGAAGAGTTTGGGTTCTTTTGTGTTGACTTGGGTTTTTTGCTCGTTTGCCTTTTTTCCCTGAGTTAACCATGGAGTTGGATATTTTACTCCTATATTAAAAGGAAAAGAGAAGCTCTTATAATTAACCTAGTGTGTTTAATAGAAGTTGAGCTTTCTAAGTGTCTCATGATGGATCTTTATTTCTGTGATAGAGTTTACCACCTCTGCGTGGTATCCTTCTGGTTAAAGTTGTAGCTTAGAGAACATTTGTGTGTGAGTTCCCACACAGTTAAAGAAACTTTAATACTGAGGCTATTGAAATGCTCAGGGTGTTCTTAAAATAATGCTATTGTTTTGAACAATATTTTTCTCATTAATCCCTGAAGGTGACCTGAGAAGGGAAAGGATGCATGACAGGGCCAGTAGTTCAGTCAGCTTACTGGAGAGTGTTTCCAGAGTAGCAGTTAGATAAAGGATAAAGGCAAAATTAAATGAAAGAACAGTATTGGGAGGGACAGGCATCCAGTGGAGACCCTCTGTGATAGTGTGTGCACAGAAGTTGAGGTCAGTTGTTGAGAGGAGAAAGATGCAAAGTTTTTGGAGATCTGGCTGTCAGATTCGTACTTCCCGCACCTCTTCTGGAAGCTGCTGGTGGTGCAGATGGTATGGGGACTGTGTATATGCTCAAAGTCTGCTTCACTGCAAGATGATGCCACTTAATTTAAGCGATCTTGAGCTATGATTCTGTGTTGAAATGGACTATGAATGCTTGCGTGATGTCTCGCACGGCTCAGTGAATGTCAACAGCTCGTGATTACAAATTCTTAACCGTCTCCAACTAAATCAGCCAAAACATGTCTTTTTATGCCCTCAGTCTTTTCAGTTTAGTTGTATATTGTACATGTTACAGTCCCCAGAAATGCATAACTGCATTGTCTATGAATTTAAAGTTTTAAGCTATATCCATGTGTACACATGTGTGTATATGAATTTATAGTCTTAACCTACATATGTAGGCATATGTGTGAGTATGTACATATAAATCCAGTTTTGACTTGGCATCTGCACAGTTTTGGTTTTCAAGTAGTTTGATTTTATTTTTTTTATATTTGTGAAGTTGTTGATACTATAGCACTGAGTGTCTGCTGAAGGATTTTTGATCAAAGTTTAGTTACTTTGGAGATTTGTTAGGACAGAAGATGCTGCTTCTAAATGTTTATTGGAAAAGTTGCTGGGTTTTTGTTGTTCAGGAAATAGGTTTGGTTTGTTTTCAAAAGTGAAAATGAAGTAGTTAGGTCCATCATTTCTGCAGAAGGATTTGTGATAATTCTCAAATAATTCTAGAGGGAAGCAAAGCATGGCTTCCCATAGTTCTTGGTATACACACCTGAACGGAGGTAAAAATCTCTTTTGTCCTGAAAATCTTTCACTATTCTCATAGGTAGGACTGGAAAATGTTCAGAACATGATGTTAAGTAAATTAAATTTTTCACTTGTTCTCTCATTGGAATTAGTTATTTCAATGTGTGATTAGTGCTTGTTAGGAGTAGCACGACCCTTGCTTGCTAGCGTAGCTCATTTGTGCCGTTCTGCTATTCAGAAGCAGCAAGTCTTTTAAAGGATTGACTCTGGGAGGTGGATGGGGGGAGGAGGGGACCAACAGGCAAACAAAAACTTGCTCACTGAATGTTTGAATCAGTGTGATAAATTTGTATTATTTTCTCACCTATTAGTGATCACTTGTTTTTCCCAAATGTTACTTACACAATACTCTACAAATTAGCAACTATTTACATATTTATTACTTTTGTACTTGTAAATGGCCTGTAAAAAAGACCAGCCTGAAAGCTGAACAGTTGGATGCATCAGTATGTAGAAACATTCATATGAGCGTAGATTTAAAGAGTTACTATATTCCATTAATTTTTTTTCAAGAAATGTGAAGTATTGCATTTCCTACAGTATTGTGAGGGTTTTGGCTTTGTTTTACTTATCTTAGTGCCCTTTAGCAGAGCAAACTGTCAGGAATCCTCAGCCATAACTTAATGGGAAGTTAGACACTGTCAGAAGAGGTTTTGCCTTTTACTTGGTTGGTTACTATTCCATACAGATTATATGTACTAATAAATTGTACCTCGATAAGGTGTTTATTTTAGCAGGCCAACTATATAAACCTAAGGGTATCTAGGATATATCCCTCTGCCTCTGGTTAGTTGTGCTAGCAGTAGAGTTGCTTCATTTAATGTTTTGAGCCTGTTGCAATGGGATTCCTATAAAAATCCATGTACACAGGGTAAATAGGAATTCCTGTGATGTGGCAGTGTTTCTAGGTTCAGTTTAAAAGATCAAATTTTAGGGGTACACAAAATAAACAACTCGCTCCAAACTGTCTTCATCAGTGTATCGATATAAACAAACAGCGCTGACTGTAATGACTCATCCGTCATACCCCAGTCCCAAAATACACACTAAGCCACTCCCAAGTGGCTTATTTACTATTTAAAAATATAGATACAGATGCAGCATTGTAGAATTTTTCTTTTAAGACCTTGGAAGGGCTAATACATCTGCATCACCTCAGCTAATTTTCTCAGCAGTGTGAGGAATTCTCAAAATACCTTGTAAGTGCATCTGTATAATCTTGATATTTCTTGTTACTTTCCTATTTGCTTTTCTGGTCTCCTTTTCTTGTTGTTTTATATTGCCTGAAAATATTGCTGCTGTGCATGGGGTAGAAACTATGGGGCACTGACTGCTTGGATTGGTGAGCATGTACCTCTCAACTGAAACTGGAGCATTTTACCCTCCTTGAGGTGTCTTGATCGCTTCAAATAGAAAACATTGGAGGAAAGCTGTGTAACACAAGGGCACACTCTTCTTTGGCAGCGGTTCCTATGTTGTACTCAGTTTTCTTTAATTCTGGCTTATTCTGCTGACCTGTCATCTGTTTCTCCAACAAATTTAATAGGAACTTTAATCTGTGAAGCTAGTAATTCTGTCTGGAAACCCTGCTCTTCACAACTCCATGGCTTTGACTTGGGTGCTTTACCTTGAGGTGGCTGTTGTAGTTTCTGCTCCCAGCTGTCCTCCGTGATCTCTGAGGTTTCTGCCCCTGCTCCAGAAGGCCTCAGCTCCCAAAGCAGCTGCTGCATTGTTATTGTGCCGCACTGGAGCGTTAGGGTAGCAGGAGGTATGTGCTGTGTAACCCTAACGCGCAGGGATGTCAGCTGTGGCATTTCAGCTGCCTCGTAAGTATCAGTGCTGTCCTTGCCATGTAGGCAGGAATCTGAGAGAGGGGCAGGAACTGAACGATCTCTTTCAAGGTAAGTTCTGTTACAGCCCTGGTTCCTTTTCAGTTTTCAGTTGCAGCTGCAAGTCTCCCTCTTATATTCTTTCTCCCACCATTTATTTAGTCTTCATTTGAGTTTCTGTCTGTGTGACCTCTGTCTTAAAAATACAAGCAATCCTGATCACATAGAATTGTTCTAGGAAAAAGAATATCTAAATACTCGGCCATCAGATAATTTCTTATATTTGTGCAGAAAATCAGGTTTTGAAAGGAAGGCTTCACAGTTTTAAAATCTTTCTCTTGATTCTGTGGAATCACAGAAACTCTCAAAGAGGGAGAACATTGTTCCTGGAAGTCCATTGTCATTAAGATGCTGGACTTGAATGTGTTCCCCTGAGGTAACAGGGGAATCTTTCCAGAGTGACTAAACTAGCTAAAGAGACACTGTAAGACCAAAACTGTCAGCTTGCTACCACTTCTCTGCCCTCCCCCACCCCCAAGGAAATTTACCTATAAGCAGACTGTGTGATATGATGGTTTAAAAAGATTTTATAACCATTTTCATATATTTGTAAAAGTCTAAATAAATGAAAACTTTTGGTTTAGGTATTGAATTTTAATTGTCTTTCAGCTACCATAGCAATGATTGACTCTGAGCTTGGACTTCTGTTGCTGTTTGAAGGAACTGCATAACAGTGTCCTTTTGTTTGATAAAAGTAATCTTAAATCTGAGACATCTTGTGCCTTTCTGTGAAGTTACCCTATGAAGATAAACAAGTCTTTTCCTTAAAATTAAAGTCTGCTAAATTTCAGAGTCACAGGGTTACGAAAGACTTTTGCAGGATTTCCCAAGCAAATCGATGTGAATATTTTAACTTGTGTGAAAGCACAATGAAGTGAGTTCATTGGGATCTGTTAATCTTCGCAGGTCGCGTTAGTCAAGCAGTGGGTGTGTAACAACAGCTCAGTATTTCTGGATATTTTGGGACTAACTATACATGTGCAGTAGACATTAGCTTCAGTGTGCGAAGATATTCCTTGTTCTGCTTCTATATACTTAGGAACTTCAGATGGTATCATCAAATTCCATTTGTATCGATTTTTTTCAGCACATTTATTATCTGAAATTGAAAATTGCAGTAGTTCTGTACAATGAGAGTGGAGACAGCTCTGCTGCCTTTGTTTACTGTAATAAATTCCAGCCCTGTAGAAGTAGTATATTTTCCTAGAATAAATCCAATTGTGTCCTAAAAAATATTCATCCATTGTTGAGACCTTTATTCTTAAAAAAATCCTCCACCCTCTTCTACCGTGATAAAGGAGAAATAATTGTAGCAACTATTTAATGAAAATATTTTGCTTTCTGTGCTGAGAATTTCTTGTTCCATATATACGCGAGTAAATACCCTCATTTTAACTTTCTCTTATTACAGTCACCTCTTTATTTGTTTGCCATATTCTTCTTTGGGCAAATATTCCTCTAAATAGGTGTTTTAATAATTCTGGATAAAAGCAGTATAGTTAGTTGTACTTCTGCATTTCACTTGTAGGCAATTTTCTAGTTTTCCTACTGAAAATCCATAACATTGCAGACATTTCTAGGGTAGCAGGGATGCTGTTATTCTGTCTATGCTGTTAGACAAAGTACTAGTAAATAAAAAAGAACCAAGAGAGAAATTTCCTGGACATCATCTATCAGATAAACCTGCGTGTTTTGTTATTTGTGGAATTCCATGTTGGTCTTCGGGTGTTTTTCTGTGAACTTTTCCTATTCTTGACACTTTGAACAAGTAAATTGTTTGCCAAAACCTAGTTGTGTGCTGACTGACACTGTTCACTGATTCCATTTGTGGTTTGTAAATTCAGGATGTTAAGAACCAGCTCAAACTAAATATAGTTCACAAAAGCTGTATCACCTTTTCTGTAAAAAGTTAGCTCAGCTAAAACCCCTTTTTTTTCTTTTGATTCAGCTGGTGAACTCGTTCACACAGCTGTAGCTATGCCCGATTACCCAGATAATATGAGCGAGAGGTAATGAAAGTTGAATTTTCCTCTCTGTAAACGGTTGTTTTCATACACAGCTACTAATGCATTTGCCTTCTCTCTTCCAAAGTTTCCTCTCTTTTTCCTTTTCATTAATTTATTTTGTAAATAAAGTTCATCAGTTGCTTGTGCCTAACAGAAGAGTTCTACAATTTGCTGCCTCTGTATTGCCTGGAACAAGATAAGTCTCTTGCACTTTGCTCAGATGGATGCTTGAAGCCTTCATAAGTAATATATTGTCAGTGGTCTGAAAAACAGTATTTACAGATAGTAATTTGGTTACTTTGCCTTTGCAGCTCAGTTTAGGTTTTCAGTTTCAAAAAAACAGAAGGACTAATAACTGAAAGGCACATGTATTTTGGATGTGTTCAGTGATTTGCAAACTTTAGAGTGAGGATTTGGGGAGCCCTGGGCCTACTTACCTTTTTGTGGTCCTTGCAGCATGCCTCACGAGATAACATTCATGTGAATTGCGATGTGTCAGTGTTTATAGATATGCATCTCTACAAAGTGATCTGTTAAGTATTAAAAGCATATCACTGAAGTTTTAGTCAGTATCTTTAGCTGTTTTCTGACAAGCTGCTTGTTTTAGCATTGCAGATTAGCAGGTTGGAAAAGAATAAAAGGAAAAGAACATTCTCAAGCTGTCTCTGACTTGCTGGAAATTAAATAGCTATATTTTTATTTTGTTCTTATAAACTAGTCATAGTTCCCTGTGTTAAATGCTTAGTTTGGATTCATATTAAAGTCCGTATGTTTGAGGTGAGGAGAATATGATACTTGAAGGATTTTCATGATTAGAAACATTTGCACAGCATGAGTTTCACTTTTTTTGTTAGAATTTGTGGAGGGAAAGTATTGAATTTGATCCTCGAAGATTTGTCCAAATTTGTAATTGCAAAAGGACTTTGAGAGCTTTTAATCCGGGTGAACTACTTACATTAACACATACTAGTACCCAATGACATAACACTGATCAGCTTTCAGTTGGTAAAATGCATAAGTGGAAATCAACTAGCATGCTAAAAGATTCAGGTTGAAGCTAATTGCAGTGCAAAGTAGTTTGATAAAATTTTAATACTGAGTTTTGGTATTTTAATAGGCTCTTGTGTAATATTCAAACAGCTGAGCACAAGTAAGTAAATGCTAGTGGGAAAGTATTCTATTATGTAATATAAACCCATATTGTAACTAGCTTATTTGCTAAAAGCTACCATTTCTAGAAGTTGAATCCTTTTTGTATTCTACAAAATGTTATCGTTTTATGTGTGTTACTGAGGAACAAGTCAACTTTAAATGTTCTTGTTTTCTGTCATATTGAGGTGCATTTTTACCATACTGGTGTAGCAAGCTGTTCCTAATTTCATCTGAATGCTTATCACATGCTTCTGGCAACGTATGCTTAGGCAGGAGAGATTTTGACAAGAAAGCATGTGATTGCATGTTTAACAAGTCTTCAAACTTTGTTTTGAATTTCACCTTTAAAACAAAAAGCATTGAAGTAGGCCTATTGTTTGAATTACTCTCCTCCATTAAGTACATGAATCTTTACCCCTCCAGGCTGTGTTCATTTGCATTTTATCTCTGCCACTCTTCCACACTTTTATTTCACTCTTGACCCTGTTTCTAGGAGATGTGCGAGTAAGAAGTCGGGCAGGATTTGAAACAGAGAGAAGAGGTTCTCATCCATACATTGATTTCCGTATTTTTCACTGTAAGTATTTAAAAGCAGATAAATGACAAATAAACAAAGGCTTCCATCAATTTGAACTACTGAGCCTCTAAAATAAAGTTAGCAGCTTTTATAGCAAGACCATTTTTTTATACTTCTTAGGAAACTCTTTCATGGTAGCTCATTACCAAAAATAGAAGAGGAAGATCTTCACTGCTAAATTTTTGTTTTTAAAAATATAATCTAAATTCATTGAATTTAGACCTGAATCCCTATGGAAATTAAGACTAGCTTACATACAGCTACTGATGTGTGTGCCAAGTGCTTACTTGGCAGGCACAATCAGTTCAGGAGAATACTTTCCTGCTGTTATAAAGCAGCAGAAGGGCCCTGTCCAGGATACTAGAAGATAATTACAGAAGATGTCAATATTCTTGACCTCATCATAATTAACATTACATCTATTCAAACATGTAGCTAGGACTTAAATTTTTGGACATAGAGGAATCTTAAATAAAGATTAAACTGCTACAAGAAAAGAGCAGTCTAAATTTTTTTGATAATGTGTTTTAGGAAACTTTTTTTCTTAGAAGTGTTCCAAGAATATCTTTGTAGAGAAGAAAGTGAAATTGTCCATCTATATTGTTATAATTAAATTTGTCAGTAGCTGTTGTAATATGGAGTTTCAATAACCACCAAACCAATATGCAGCAAAAGTACAGGGGATTTAAGTCTTAATTAAATTATGCCAATAATGAATGTTTGAAGTGTCATAAAGTATCTATACCAGCATTGTATAAGCACAGTTCCAAGTATTCTGAATGCATTGGAGAGATTTAGAAAAGCTGATCTCATGGTAACAAGTGTGGTTGTGTAATTACCTGATAAATAAAAATGAGTGGCAGAAACTGGTCTAACACTCAGATCTTAATTGAAGTTACTCTTTTTTTTTTTTAAGTAGATCACATTTAAAACTCTTAGTTTTATCCAAAATTTTCGTGAAAATAGGTGAGAAAACAAAGTTTGAAGAGTGTGCTATATCGATTTTTTTTCAATAAAGAGGATAAGAATCTCATCTCAAGTCCCTAATGAATATAATAAATTCTCTGTAGAAATAGCATGCAATTTATGAATTACATAACTGTCTTTTTGTTTGTGTATCTATATATGTGGCATTTCATGCTGATGTGGGAAAATACTAACAAGTATTAAAAGAACTACCTGTTAAAAGGCAGTCAACACATGATGTTATTGCTGTTGTCAAATGAACTGTTTTCTGTGGTCCTCATCACACTGTTTCTTTCTATCCTGATGGTTGTGCATCAGGCAAATCGTGACTAATCAGGAAAAGGATTTTCACGCCCTTTCTTCTTGCCACTACTTGTTCAGGCGCAGGCACCAGCTTTTAGCAACATCACCTGTGGTGTCTAATGACAGCAAAGAATGTTGCTAGGAGGCCCAAAAAATTCTTTGGCTGTAACTTCCCTCTCTTGTCAGCTGCTGTGGCAGTTTTCAGAGTTGCCTTATTATAGTCAGGTTTTTTGCAATTCAGGATTGTAGCCTGTTGCAGAGTTGCTTTTTGACTTCAGGCTCCTGCCACATTGTGGAGTTTTTTCACAGTCAGGAATTCTGCACCATCTCTCGCCCTATCACTAGATTATATGTTAATTTACATAGGATTTTTTTATCAGTAAAATGTTTGCTTTTTCTCTGCAGTGCTATTTGAGTTCTGATCAGAGTTTCCTTAACTGTTTTAAGCAAAAGAGTTTCATAATTGTACTATGAGACTGTGTGACTAGAGAGAAGTTGTGGTAATCAGATTTAAACTAACTTTTAGGATATTCTCCCTGTCCTTTCCCAGTAACTCCAGAAGGATTTGATTTTGCCACATAAGGGCTACATGACTAAAAAATGTTCACCCATATGAGCAATAGTATGTGAGAGGAGCCAGCCAGCTCTTCTTGCCTTGGGGCAAAGCCCGAACTGAGAAGGGTCTCTCCTGCAGCCGAAGCAGTTTAAACCGTGTGAATGTTGGCTCCTCCCCACCCCCCCAGCTGTACTGCATGGATATGCTTCTTTCATTGTGTTCGTATGGTTTCACTGTAACTTTCTTCTACTGTCCACTAACTTTTTTTTCCTGCGGTTCTAAATGTTTTGCAATGATCATTGCTTACCTGTTTTGCAGATAACTTATGCACTGGCCATCACTCACAGTGTTGAAGCATAATTGCTGTTTTGTATTTTGTTTGGCTAACTTTTGTTGTTCAGCATTGTTTTCTGTCAATGACCTTTTGTGAAGAAGTTGAACGTCTTTCAGGAGGTCTAGCTAATAATCTGCTGACCAGTTCTCTTTTCCAATATTTTATTAATAGACTCTTAACCCAATATTTTATTGGTAGGTTTGAAGAGTACTGGATTTTAAATGCATTGCTGTGTTATCAGGAAGCTACTGTGATGTGTGTTTGTGGTGGTTTTTTTAGAGAATCTCTTCTGTTTCATAACACAATTTTAACTTGAAACTTCAGCTAGTGTTGCTGAAGTAAAGTTTGTTAGTACTTGCTGCATAAGACCAATTCTGTGCCATCTTATGCATTATAACCTCAGCGTCTGTACCTTCATCCCAGACTTCTCTAACTGGCACATGAATATTCAAGTTCTTAACCTGGCTAGAAATATTCTCAACAGTAACTTCTGTCCAGGAAATGTAATTTGAGGAGGATTGTTGGAAAAATGTCTTTGTCGTTATTGTTAGAGATGGCAGTGTGGGAGCCCTAGCTGAGGATTATCAGCTGCAGGATTTGACTGGTGATCAAACTAAATTTGTCAGGTGGTAGTTTTCCTTCTGTATTACCTGTTATTCCAGAAGTCACTTTTTCATAGGTACTTGCAGGATCTAGCCAGGAGGAATAGCTTAATGAACAAATTTTTTGTTTCAACGAGGCTGCTCCCTGATGAGTGGGGAGAGTCAGGATTGTGTTCTTCATGTTGGTTGGCAATTGGTTAATGTTGGCTCAGCAATTAGTAGTTTTTCTGTGCTTCTGATCTGCTGCTTATGTCTGTGTGGGACCATGGGTATAAATGCAGCAGCTCAGGGCCACCATTTCTAGAAAGGAGAGAGCAGCCACAAAACTTTCTTGCCCCGAAGTAAATTTCCCCCTTAAGTGCTGATGCTGTTCAGCGACTGTACATGTCGCTCAGTTGCACAGTAAAATGTGTACAAGATAGAACACTGGATCTGCTTTTGACTCCATGCGTAACAAGGAGAGAGTTCTGCAGTTCACTGTGACAATGCAGCATGTGCTGTTTGGTTTTCAGGGAAGTTATTGAAAAAGTGATTGCAGTGGTTATAACCACTCTTGTTTTGCTGTCTGTTGGTTTACAAATAGGCTACAGTTAACATGATTACATTTATTTTTACATCATAGACGAATTCAGTCTGCAGTGCTGACAGAATATGTTAATAAAAGCTAGTGCAAAACAAAATCTTTGTTAGAAGAATTGGTAAATGACAGTGTAAAAATACTCCCTTTTTCAGAAATAGTAAACCAGTGATAAATGCTTAGGTTTTGTTTTCTTGCTATTGAGAGTTTGTCAGTAATATCTATTTATTTATACATGTGTCTCTGTATACATACACACACATACACTAAAGAAACTTTGATTATGTTTGTGAGGAGTTTCTCTGCATAAAAAAAAATGTGTAATGTGCCCCAATCACTCACCATTTCACCTGAAAAAAAACCCCCAATAGTGAATGCGCTCAGTGATGTGTACAATATCTTATTAGTGAGGGAGTGAAGACAAAATGAACTAAGTGAAGATATAATGAATAATTAGGATAACAGAAAAAGTAGTGGGGAGTGTCTTATGCACTCTACTTGAATTAATGCTTTTAAGCTTCCTTTTTAGGAAAGGGTTGTTTGGCATAGTCTGGAAGAACCAGATAAAAACCTGAATATTTTGGTTTTGTGTAGTGAAAACATTTTTTTCTTTTTGCTTTTCCTGTTGTGCCTGACCCAGAACAAATAAGATCTTGTCAAAAGGTTTTTAGAATTCTCTTGTGTCACTGTAGTCTGAACATGGCTCTGTGAGGAGATGAGGTTGGGGCCAACATATGGGGCTCCATTTTGTGTTTTATAGAGAACCGAATACGTCACGTCTGTGAGTTAAAATGTCTTAGAGGAAAGGTTTTTTTTGAGTTAATCAGTATGTTTCTGTAATCGTTTAGGAATGTCCCAGTTTTGAAGCAAATGGATACTTGCATGCAGTATAATGCTTCACACAGGAGAGAAAGCAATGTGCTTGGAACTTAAGACTTCATTGAGGCTTAGCTGGTTCTTCTTGTTAGTTGTTGGAGCCTTTTTAGCATGGAAAGGAAAAGAGGAAGACTTTTATAGGGAATGGGTAAATCTAATTCTCTTTCTTTAGAGTGCAAACGTTAAGAAATTCCAGTCTCTTTATTATACAGTCTTCAGACTGTTTACTTAGAAGTTACAGTTCATGGAACATCTATGCTACTCTGAGATCTGGGAAAGATGTTAGCATCTACTTTTTGCAGTGTTGTTTTTAACTTTCCAGTTTTTCACTCAAGTCTTTGGGAAAAGTTTACTTTGAACAGTGAATATAAACTTTCCTTGGCTGAGAGGCCAGAAGTCAAAGAAGAGAGAAGAGTGCAAATCCAAGTTGATTGCCTTAAACAATTTGGAAAATCCTTGTATCAGCAGGTGATCGTGCTTTTGATGATACCATCTAGAGATTGAGATAAAATGAGCATAGTCCAGGTGAATTTGAATGCCCTTTGTTGTTTCAAGAAAATAGAGGAATTTCCTGGCTGAATATCTGTCTTGTTCCACAGTTTTCTCTGTAGAAGGGTGAGTTCCACCATTAATAAAGTCATGCAAGAAGATTTCTGTGTGCTCATAGGTTGAATGAAGTATATATTTCCTTGTGAAAATACCAGCACTAAGGACTAAAAAGCTTGTACTCAAGCAATTTGTCCAAGAGCTGCCTTCCTGTGAAGGATGTACTTCCAAAATTGTCTT